ATTTTTATTTATTTATTTAACTTTCATTTTAAGTTCAGGAGCACATGTGCAGGTTTATTATATAGGTAAACTTGTGTCGTGGCAGTTTGTTGTAAAGATTATTTTGTCACCCAGGTATTAAGCCTGAACTCATGTTATTTTTTCCTGAGCCACCGCCTCCTCCCAACCTCCACCCTCCGATAGGCCTCAGTGTGTGTTTTTATCCTCTATGTGTCTGCGTGTTCTCATCATTTAGCTCCCACTTATAAGTGAGAACATGTGGTATTTGGTTTTCTGTTCCTGCATTAGTTTGCTAAGGATAAGGGCCTCCAGCTCCATCCATGTCCCTGAAAAGGACAGGAGCTCATTCTTTTTAATGGCTCCTTGGTATTCCGTGGTGTATATGTACCACATTTTCTTTATCCAATCAATCACTGATGGGCATTTGGGTTGATTCCATGTCTTTGCTGTTGTGAATAGTGAGTGCTACAGTGAACATACACACACATGTGTCTTTATAATAGAACGATTTATATTTCTTTGGGTATATACCAGTAATGGGATTGTGGGTTGAATGGTAGTTCTGTATTTAGGTTTTTGAGAAATCAACACAGTGTCTTTCGTGGTGGTTGAACTAATTTACACTCCCACCAACAGTGTATAAGTGTTCCATTTCTCCACAACCTTTCCAGGATCTGTTATTTTTTCACTTTTTAATAGCCATTCTGATGGCGTGAGATGGTGTCTTATTGTGGTTTTGATTTGCATTTCTCTCTCTTTTATTTATTTATTTATTTTTTTGAGACAGAGTCTTGTCGTGTCGCCAAAGCTGGAGTGCAGTGGTGCAATATTAACTCACTGTAACTTCTGCCTCCTGGGTTCAAGCTATTCTCCTGCCTTAGCCTCCCAAGTAGCTGGGATTACAGGTGCCTGCCACCATGCCCGGCTAATTTTTGTACTTTTAGTAGAGATGGGGTTTCACTATGTTGGCCAAGCTGGTCTTGAACTCTGACCTCAGCTGATCCACCTGCCTCAGCTTCCCAAAGTGGTGGGATTACAGGCGTGAGCCCCTGTGCCTTGTTTGATTTGCACTTCTCTAATGGTCAGTGATACTGAGCTTTTTTTTTTTTCCATATGCTTCTTGGCTGCATTTATGTCTTCTTTTGGAAAGTATCTGTTCATGTCCTTTGCCTACTCTTTTTTGTTTGCTTTGAGACAGAGTCTCATTCTTGTTGCCCAGGCTGGATTTCAGTGGTGCAGCCTCAGCCTCCCAGGTAACAGGTGATTCTCCCACCTCAGCCTCCCAAGTAGCTGGGATTACAGGCACACGCCACCACACTCACTTTGCCCACTCTTTAATGGAGTTGTTTTTTTTCTTAAATTTGTTTAAGCTGTTTATACATTGCTGGATATTAGACCTTGTCAGATGCATAGTTTGCAAAATTTTTCTCCCATTCTGTAGATTGTCTGTTCACTCTGTTGTTAGTTTCCTTTGCTGTGCAGAAGCTCTTTAGTTTAATTAGATCCCACTTGTCAATTTTTGCTTTTGTTGCAGTTGTTTTCGTTAGAAATCTTTGTCTCTGCCTATGTCCTGAAAGGTATTTCCTAGGTTATCTTCCAAGGTTTTTATAGTTTTTTGTTTTTGTTTTTGCTTTTTTTAAAACATTTAAGTCTTTAGTCCATCTTGAGTTAATTTTAAAATATGGTATAAAGAAGGGGTACTTTTTTTTTTTTTTTTCTTTGAGACGGAATTTAGTCTTGTTGCCCAGGCTGGAATGTAGTAGCGTGATCTTGATTCACTGAAACCTCTGCCTCCCAGGTTCAAGTGATTCTCCTGCCCCAGCCTCCTGAGTAGCTGGGATTACAGGCACCCACCACCATGCCCAGCTAATTTTTGTATTTATAGTAGAGACAGGGTTTCACCAGCTTGGCCAGGTTGGTCTCAAACTCCTGACCTCAGGTGATCCACCCACCCTCGGCCTCCCAAAGTGCTGGGATTACAGGCAAGAGCCACCCCACCCAGCAAGAAGGGGCCCAGTTTTAATCTTCTGCATGTGATATCTAGTTATCCCAGCACCATTTATTGATAGGGAATCTTTTCCTCATTGCTTGTTTTTGTCAGGTTTGTAAAAAATCAGATAGTTGTAGGTGTGAGACCTCATTTATGGGTTCTCTATTCTGTTCCATTGATCTGTGTGTCTTATTTTTGTACCAGTACCATGCTGTTTTGGTTACTATAGTCCTGTATTATAGTTTGAAGCAGGTAGTGTGACGCCTACAGCTTTGTTCTTTTTGTTTAATATTGCCTTGGCTGTTTGGGCTCTTTTTTTTGGATCTATATGAATTTTAAAATTGTCGTTTTTTAGTTCTGTGAAGAATGTCCTTGTTAGTTTAATAGGAATAGCATTGAATCTGTAAACTGCTTTGGGCAGTGTGGCCATTTTAACAATATTGATTATTCCTATCCATGAGCATGGAATGTTTGTTCATTTGTTTATGTCATCTTTTATTTTTTTTAGAAGTGTTTTGTAGTTCTCCTTGCAGAGATCTTTCACCTCCCTGGTTAGCTGTATTCCTAGGTATTTTATTCTTTTTGTGGCAGTTGTGAATCAAATTGCATTCCTTACTTGGCTGTCAGCTTGACTCTTGTTGGTGTATAGGAATGCTAGTGATTTTTTGCATATTGATGTTGTACCCTGAGACTTTGCTGAAGTTGTTTATCAGCTTTAGGAGCTTTGGGGCTGAGTCTATGCAGTTTTCTAGATAGAGGATTATGTCCTCTGCAAACAGAGATAGTTTGACTTCCTTTCTTCCTATTTGGATGCCCTTTCTTTCTTTCTCTTGCCTGATCACCCTGGCCATGATTTCCAATAGGATGTTGAATAAAAGTGGTGACAGAGGGCATCCTTGTCTTGTGCTGACTTTCAGGAGGAACACTTCTAGCTTTCCCCATTCAGTTTGATGTTAGCTGTGGGTTTTTATTTATGGCTCTTATATTATGTTGAGGCATCCTTCTTTAATACCTAGTTTACTGAGAGTTTTTAACATTAAAGGGTATTGAATTTTATTGAAAGCCATTTCTGAATCTCTTGAGATCTATGTATATTGAACCAACCTTGCATATTAGGGATAAAACTACTTCATTGTGGTGGATAGCTTTTTTGTTTGTTTTTTGTTTTTTTTTCTTTGAGGCAGAGTCTCACTCTGTTGCCCAGGCTGGAGTGCAGTGGTGCTATCTCGGCTTGCCACAACCTCTGCCTCCTGGGTTCAAGCAATTCTCCTGCCTCAGCCTCCCAAGTAGCTGGGATTACAAGTATGTGCCACCATTCCTGGCTAATTTTTAAATTTTGTGTAGAGACGGGGTTTCACTATGTTTGCCAGGCTGGACTCAAACTCCTGACCTCGTGATCCACCCGCCTCGGCCTCCCAAAGTACTGGGATTACAGGTGTGAGCCACCATGCCCAGCGGATAAGTTTTTTGATGTCCTGCTAGATTTGGTTTGCCAGTATTTTGTTGAGGATTTTTGCATTGATGTTCATCAAGGATATTGGCCTGAAGTTTTCTTTTTTTGTTGTTGTGTCTCTGCCACGTTTTGGTATCAGGACGATGCTGGCCTCAGAATGAGATAGGAAGGGTCCTTCCTCAATGTTTGGAGTATTTTCAGCAGGAATGGTGTCAGCTCTTGTACATCTGGTAGAATTCAGCTGTGAATTTGGCCATGGGCTTCTTTTCGGTAGTAGGCTATTTATTACTGACTCAATTTCAGAGCTCCTTATCGCTCTCTTCAGGGAATCAGTTTCTTCCTGGTTCAGTTTTGGAAGAGTGTATGTGTTCAGAAATTTATCCGTTTCTTCTTGATTTCCTAGGTTTATATGCATAAAGGTGTTCACAATATTCTCTGATGGTTGTTTGTATTTCTGTGGGGTCAGTGGTAAGACTCCCCTTGTCATTTCTGATTATGTTTACTTGAATCTTTTCTGTTAATCTTAGCTAGTGGTCTGTTTAATTTTTTTTAAAAACCAGATCCTGAATTTGTTGATCTTTTGAGTGTTTTTTTTGTGTGTGTCTCAGTCTCCTTCAGTTCAGCTTCAGTTTTGGTTATTTCTTGTCTTCTGCTAGCCTTGAGATATGTTTGCTCTTGGTTATGTTAGCTTGTTAACTTGAGATCTTTCTAACTTTTTGATGTGGCCATTGAGTGCTATAAATTTCCCTCTTAACACTGCCTTAGCTGTGTCCCAGAGATTCTGGTATGTTATATCTTTGTTCTCATTAGTTTCAAAGAACTTGCTTTCTGCTTTAATTTCATTATTTACTTAACAGTCATTCAGGAGCAGTTTACTCAATTTCCATGTAATTGTATGGACTGATTTTTATAAGCAAAACACAGAGGAGTTTCTCTGTAGTTCTAGAATAGGATGTGATGCAGTAAATCAACAAATGGTTGACCGATATTGGAAGGTGGAGGTTGCATAGGAAAAAGAGGTAGAAGTAAGGGTATGTGTGCTAATTTCTTCATTTTTAAAAAGAATATGTAAAAGGCCTGGCCAGGTGAGGTGGCTCACGCCTGTAATACTTTGGGAGGCCAAGGTGGGTGGATCACAAGGTCAGGAGTTCAAGACCAGCCTGGCCAACATGGTGAAACCCCATATCTACTGAAAATACAAAAATTATCTGGGTGTGGTGCACTTGTATTCCTAGCTACTTGGGAGGCTGAGGCAGGAGAATCATTTAAACCCTGGAGGCGGAAGCTGCAGTAAGCTGAGATCATGCCGCTGCACTCCAGCCTGGGCAACAGAACGAGACTCTGTCTAAAAAAAAAGAAAGAAAATATCAAAGGCCAAAGTATGCTATGTAAAGTTAAAATGGGCAAAATTAAAATAAAATGGGCAAGCCAGCAGGTTGGCTGACACTTGTAATCTCAGTGTATTGGGAGGCCAAGGTGAGAGGATTGCTTGAGATCAGGGGTTTGAGACCAGCCTGGGTAACATAGTGAGACCCCATCTCCACAAAAAAACTAAAACATAAAATTACCTAGGAATGGTGGCGTGCACCTGTAGTCCCAGCTACCTGGGAGCCCGAGGTTAGGAGGATCGCCTGAGCCCAGAAGTCAAGGCTACAGTAAGCAGGGATCGTACTACTGCACTCTAGCCTGGGTGACAGAGGGAGACCCTGTCTCAGAAAAATAAAAATAGGCTGGGCACGGTGGCTCATGCCTGTAATCCCAGCACTTCGGGAGGCCCAGGTGGGCGGATCACTAGGTCAGGAATTTGAGACCAGCCTGGCCAACATAGTAAAATCCTGTCTCTACCAAAAATAAAAAAAAAAAAAATTAGCCGGGCATGGTAGCGCACACTTGTAATCCCAGCTACTTGGGAGGCTGAGGCAAGGAGAAACTCTTGAAACTGGGAAGCAAAGGTTACAGTGAGCCAAGATCACACCACTGCACTCCAGCCCCAGTGACACTGTAAGACTCCAACTCAAATAAAAATTAAATTAAAATAGGCAACTACAGAGAAGATAAATTCGTCATCATTCATGGAAGAGAGTTGACAGATACTGTTTCAAGTTTGATAAATAAAAAAGTACATATTTAAGATTATTTAAAGTTTTGGAGGTAAATACCAAAGCAACTAAAAAAAAATGTGGCTATCTTGAACAACTGGAAGGGACTGATTGGTAAGGGCCACAACAAATCATATTATAATTTTGCTTAAGTATAACTGTCATCATTCCAGATGTTGAAAGTCACAGGTGGCTTTAATATTCATAATCACTATGTCAAAAAATTTTAGGGGGCCAGGCGTGGTGGCTCACACCTGTGATCCCAGTACTTTAGGAGTCCGAGGTGGGTGGATCACTTGAGGTCAGGAGTTTGAGACCAGCCTGGCCAACGTGGTGAAACCCTGTCCCTAATAAAAATACAAAAATCAATCAACCTGTAATCCCAGCTACTCGGAAGGCTGAGGTACTAGAATCCCTTTAACCTGGGAGGCGGAGGTTGCAGTGAGCCAGGATTGTGCCACTGCACTCCAGCCAGGATGACAGAAGGAGACTCTGTCTTAAAAAAAAAGAGAGAGAGAGAGAGGATGTGGGGTGAAGTATAATTTCCAATACTTTTGGACCCTGAGGTGGGAGGATTGCTTGAGCCCAGGAATTTGAGGCCAGCAACATAGTGAAACCCCCCGTCTCTACAAAAAATTAAAAAGGAGCCACACCGACATAATAAAACATATAATAAAAACATGAGCTAGGCATGGCGGTGCATGCCTGTAATCCCAGGTACTTGGGAGATGGAACTGACAGGATTACTTGAGCTCAGATATTTGAGGCTGCAGTGAGCTATGATTGTTTGTATACCTGTACTCCAGCCTCAGCAACAGAGTAGGACCCCATCTCTAAAAAAATAAAAATAGTAATAATAAGATAAATGGGCCAGGCAGAGTGGCTCATGCCTGTAACCCTAGCACTTTGGGAGGCTGAGGTGGGCAGATCACCTGAAGTCAGGAGGCCTGGCCAACATAGTAAAACCCTGTCTCTACTAAAAATACAGAAATTTTGCTGAGTAGTAGCTAATAAGAAAAAGAAAAAAAAGGAAATTAAAAAAAAAATACAAAAATTAGCTAGCGTGGTGGCACTTGCCTGTAATCCTAGCTACTTGGAAGCCTGAGGCAGGAGAATCGCTTGAACCTGGGAGGCAGAGGTTGCAGTGAGCCAAGATCATGCCACTGCACACCAGCCTGGGCAGCAAAGCCAGACTTTGTCAAAAAAAAAAATAAAAATAAAAATAAATGGTGGGAACTAAACAGTGTGTCTGTCGTATATTGTTCTTATCAAATAATATCCAAAGAAAAAATATAAAATTGCAGAGAACGCCTCTGCCATAATACAGTGTAACTAAAACCTGTGTTGACTCATCTGATAAAACTTCTTGGGTATCATTTTAGTACTGAAGTCCTTTATCTTTAACTTGATGATGAAGAAACTGGTCAGTCATGACTCAAAATAGGAAAACCCTTGAGGGTTCACCTGGACTAAGGAGCCAAGGGTGGGATGGCATCTGACGTTGAAACACACGCGGAGCCTCAGGACGCAGCTGCTGCTGCTGCCTGGGCAGCCCTGTCTGATGACATGGGCACTCGTGGGTCAAGTGGCAGTAACAGAGTGTTGTTTTTTTTTTTTATAACTATGTATATAGTGAATACCTGAAGCAACTTTTTTACTGACAGAAATTGGCAGCTTTTGCTCTTTCTTCTGAATGAAGTCATAAGTTAAGCAGTTTGTTTAGGTAAGTCCTAGGTACATCTTTGAAACAGAATCTAATATTTTACGTATTACATTAGTAGGCCTGGAAAATCCCCAGAGAGGAGTCACATCTCTTCAGAGCCCTACGAGCCCATTTCCCCACCCCAGGTTCCAATTGTACATGAGAAACAGGACAGCTTGCTGCTCCTGTCTCAGAGGGGCTCAGAGCCTACAGAGCAGAGGTAAGTGTACGTCCTAGTGACAGCACTGATTCACGGCGCGGGTGCTCATGCTTTAACATTTCCTTTCCTTAAGTTAGTGCCGTTTTTCTACTTTGGGCTTTTATGTCTGGATGGGATTCTCAGAGTATCATTTGTCTGTTTTCCTAGTGATCTAATGCTAGTGGATTTTAGCAAAAAGAAAACATTCACAATATCATAATATTTAAATAGATTAGAAAATATTTGTTCATTATTCTTTTTGAAATTAAATCTTTCTAGATAGTTTTTTTTTTTTTTTTTTTATGTTTTTTGTCTAGGGGGAAGTGTCACGCATTGATTCAGCCAACATTTGAATGCTTATTGTACACCAAGCACTGTGGACTCTGCATGGATTTTATCTTACGTCTTTCTAGCCCTGACCTCAATCCTGTTAATTATTAAATTATTATCCCCATTTGGATTAGATGCCTTTGAGTTGGCTCCTTTCCAGTAAGTCTCCATACCTCCACCTAAGTGATTTGTCTAAAACCCATGCAGAATCCAGCAGCCAGTCTTTAGCATGGCATCTGAGTTCTTGCGTGACCAGGTTTATGCTGCCTGTTCTGCTTCACTTCCCACTGCCTCACCCCTACACTGGAGTCTCTGTCCGTATCATTTTGCTTATTATTCCCTGAATTCCTTTCTGTCCATACTTGTGCAGTTTGCCTAGCACGGAACACCCTCTGGTGATGTGCCAAGTGCCAGACGTGCCCCTTGCTCATGGTCATACTGATACTAATGGGGAAAGACCAGTTTTAAACTAAAGTCTTTCTAACTCCAAATTCTAGTGCATTTCTTACAATGTGTTGCTCCTAATTTATTGCATTTATTCTTAGGCAGCTAAGTAGATATTGCTACTTTTCAATGAAATGAAGAAAATCCATTTTTGGAGAGGAAGTGATATTCAATTTCATTATGCGTTTATATTTTTCCCCCCTATGTTTGTGAGTTTCTTGAGGACAGGGACCATGTCTTATTCCTGTTCCTGACACCTTAATTGTCTTTCTTGGCATAAAGTAAGTGTTCTTACGTTTGAATGATGAATGAACCCACATGACTGGATTAGGTTGTCCGTAACCTGTATTCTCTGTTCTAATCTCTGGCTCTACCTAGATCCTTGGTGGCCTCGAGCTGTTAGGGGAAAGTTGTTTTTTAAAATGTGTATAAACATAAAACTCTTTATGTTAAACTCAGCTCATTTGTTAGGTGTCTTGAAATGACTGTAACAAATAGGCAGTTTTATTCCTCTACTATCCCTGTTGGATTCCATTCCAACTGTTGATTGCTTAGATCTGAGTTCTTGCTGTTTTATAGGCAAGCATGCTATTATAATTTTAGTGTACTTAAAACTAATTCAGTATAATAGTTTGCAGTTTATGTGGCAACCATGAATATATCAGTGTTTGTGCTGTTAAGCAGAATCATGGTAAGCTGTTTGAATTTTCCTATTAATATTCATTTGCTGCTGCTTCATTCCTTCCTAAGAATTTCTACTCTAGATTATCTCCATTCTAATTCTAATTTTATGATTTCATTTTGAGAGCTAAATCATTTGACTGTCCTCAAATGATGTACTAAATGGCTTTTGATTACATACGGTTTCTTAGGGCTGTAATCACAAACACGGGACGAGGAGGCAGTAGTTTCCTAAGTACTCTCTGACTGTTGTTATCATTGATAGAAATGTCCCCAGGATTAGGAGTACGTGGTTGTAATATACTTAACTTTGGCCCTAACAGGAATGATTCCCGCTCACCAGGGAGTATAAGCTACTTGCCTTCATTCTTCACCAAGCTTGAAAACACATCACCCATGGTTAAATCAAAGAAGCAGGAGATTTTTCGTAAGTTGAACTCCTCTGGTGGAGGTGACTCTGATATGGGTAAGTGGGATTTCTTTCATGAACCTCAAATAAAACATGCATTAATAATGATATCTCTGGTGTTGCCTTTCCTATAATGCTTGACTTTGAAGGCTCTTTACCAGGCAGCTGTCCAACACATCTGATCCTAGCATTCCTTCTCAAGTGCCTCCAGCCCATGAAGAGTTCTAATGAGGAAGCAGAGCTCGCTCCTTTCTGAAGTTGTGCTGTTTCTCTTTGAACAAATGCTGTGTCTTCTAGGTTACTTTTCCTTATAGGGGACTGGATTAACTCTCCGTAGTTTTTCTTTCTCCCCTACCCGTGAGTCTTACTTTTGTCCATTTGGGCCCATCCCGACAGATATTTGAAGACATGTCCTTCAGGGGTCATTTCAATCAGTGTCCCCAGTTTCATCATCTGTTTATCACATGTCCTCATTATGAGTACCCCTACCATCTCAATTATTCTCCACCAAAAACGTTTAGCCTAGCCTTTTACCAGGTTCCAAGTAATACAGAATAGAGTAGTGTCATATGATATATGCTGAATTCATCTTTTTTTTTTTTTTTTGAGACGGTCTCACTCTGTTGCCAGGCTGGAATGCAGTGGCGCAATCTCAGCTCACTGCAACCTCTGCCTCCTGGGTTCAAGCGATTCTCCTGCCTCAG